GGTGGGGGGGGGGAGGGCTCCAGCTGCGGGTGCTGGGTCTGGGGTGGTGCTGTGAATGAGAGGCTGGGGTGAAACCTGTCTCAATGCTGCAGCCGGGAGGGGGGCGGCCCCCATCCTTCTCTCTCTGCAGCAGCACCAGGGCTGTGGGGGCAAGTCTCTCCCTGCCTGAGCGCCTGCAGGGCCCTTGATGGGCTGCTGCATGAGTGCACAGCTTAGAGGGAACTTTAGTGTTCACCCCAGACCAGAGAGGAAGGGGCTAATGGAGGCCAGCAGCCATGGAGGGGAGTTGCAGCCGGGAGGGGGGCGGCCCCCATCCTTCTCTCTCTGCAGCAGCACCAGGGCTGTGGGGGCAAGTCTCTCCCTGCCTGAGCGCCTGCAGGGCCCTTGATGGGCTGCTGCATGAGTGCACAGCTTAGAGGGAACTTTAGTGTTCACCCCAGACCAGAGAGGAAGGGGCTAATGGAGGCCAGCAGCCATGGAGGGGAGTGCTGCAGGCAGCCCAGCCAGCAGCCAATTGGTGGGAGGCTGCATGGAACAGCCAATCAAGGCCCAGCAGGCTCACATAAAAGGCCGTGCAAGGCCAGCAGCAGTCAGTTGCTCTGGGTAGCCCAAGGGGTGAGTGCTGGTCCTAATGGGCTGCAGGAAGGGCAGCACCATGGACAGAGGAGCTGCTGGCGGGGGGCTGAGGGAGTCAAAGAAGCTCCTGGCTGGTGGCAGCGATTTACTGGCGACTGCTCTGAGAAGTGGGTAAGAAGGTGTGGAGGCCACAGGAAGTGGTCCAGGAATAGAAGCAGCATGGAGCAGAGTTAAGGAGTCACAGCAGGAGGCTGCTATCTACAGGGTCCCTGGGTCAGGGCCCCCTCCCCCTGCCCATCACTGAGGAAGAGGCTGGACTATTGAATTGGGGGGGAGGGGGCTGAGGCTGGTGGCCTGGCTGGAGGGCTTGAAGAGGCCACTGTGGTAGTTGGAGTGAGGTGGGTCTACTTGTGGAGACAATGGCAAGAGGAGGTGCTGGCTGGCAGAGCTAATCCCTGTGATGGCCAGCAGGAGGTGCTGCTGTTGTGAGTGGACTCTGTCATACCCAGCTCTCTGGAGGCCTCCCTATTCACCCATCCTTCCTTCCATCACACTATGATACTGGCTATCTACCCCTCCCCCCCACTCCCTCTATCCCTCTACCTGTGCCTGTCCATCTGAGCTAGAAGGATGCCCGGGCTGGTGTGGAAAGTGGCACTAGGCAGGACCGCATCGCCCATGCAGCCAAGCCCTCCTGTGCCTGGAGCCCATCGGGCTGGCTTGTGCACTAGGCCTGAGGTTGGACTGACAGGGCTCAGCTCTGGCTCTCAACACAGCCCCGTAGCCATGCGGGCCTGGGCTGCACTCGGGGTCTGAAGCTGGGGGAGCAGGCTGGGTTTCAGAGCTGAACCCTCGCCTGAGCCCAGAGCACAAAGCTGAGGCTGTCGGGCCCAGCTCAGCGCCTGGCTGCTGCTGGTCGCTGCTTGGCAGGTAGCTGGCAGCCGAAGCTGAGCAGAGTTGGGGATAGAAACCAGAATGTGGAGGTAACGGGGGAGGGAAAGATGTCACAGCACCCCCTGCTGGGCTCCTATCTCCTGTGCTGCCCAGCTCAATCCTGGCAGTAGGACACAGAAGAGGGCTCATCCCTCCAATAGGGGGCAGCACATACAATCCAAACACCCCCTTGAATTTCTCATGTTTGCCTCTGTTATTACCATATTAATACTGATTTATTATATTTTACAATCATCAATAATTTATTAATAATAAATAAATTCACAGTGACTACTACAAGCCCCAGCCGAGCTCAGCACCGCATCATGCCATGCGGACCGTCCCAAAGAGCTCGGCCCGCTGGCGCCAGGTGCTGCACATACACCGTGGGAGCCAGCCGCTTTCCCAGAGCTCCATCTCAATAGCTATATGGTGACCGTTTAGCAGGTGCCAAATAAGGCTGGTGATTAACCCTTTGTAGCCCTTGCTGAATGGGAACAGCCCAGCTTGTTCCGGGAGCTACAGAGTTAAGCCTCACAATAAGCCTATGAGCTAGTTAATTATTACGATCTGTTTTGCTAACTGCACTTAGGCACCTAGAATTAGTGCCTGTGCCAATTAAACCCTGGCAGCGCTGTGATTGGATGCAGGGGGAGCACCCGGCTCTGTCAGTTGTGTGCAATCCGCACCTACCTCCCTTCACCTGCCCTTGATTTATGTGTCACTGAAGTAAAACTGGTTGGGGAAAACCTACCCGGACAGAAAGCAGCAGAAGCTGGCAACGGTAAACACTAAGCCTCGGGCCACGCACAGAAGCTAGGCGGCAGGGCTGGCCTTACCGTGAGGCGAACTGAGGTGACCTCCTCAGGTGCCACTAGGACCCAGAGTGGAGAAAATTGTGTCTGCTGCTGGGGCATGTGTGTTCTCTCTGCTCTAGATGCACAGAGATGGTGGGGTGCTGTGCTGGAGGAAGGAGGGCACAAGAGACGTGGCAGGCAGGAGAAAAGGGGACATGGGGGTGTCATTTGAGCTCCCCACCTCAGGTGCCAAAATGTGGGCTGGCTTTGCTTAGGGGCCACATGTGGCCATCAGGTGGCAGGCTGCCCACCAGGGTGCTAGCCCTATGCTGCTTCTAGCCAACAGATCCAGGAGTTCTCTGGCTTTTCCCTGGGTCACAACTCACAGGATGCTGCCTGGTGTCCCAGATCAGGGCAACTGAATCCTTGGGAGGCTCCTCACTCCTCAGCCAGCCCCTCTCTTGGACCTAGCTCAGTGTCTTGCTTCTGCCTTGGGGGTCCAGCCTGCCCAGTTCCCTGACTTCCCCGGCAGGGCAGGCCTTGTCCTCAGGGGCTCCCCCAGCATCAGTGCCCACAGGTAAGTCACCACCCAGCTCGCAGACTTCTCTGCCACACTTTCCCCTTTAGAATAAAACGTACTGGGAGCCACACCAGAACCTCATCGGCTCTCCAGCGATCACCTCCGCCGGGGCTCAGGTGGGTCCATGGGGCTTTCAAGGCACAAGCTCACAGCAGCTGTTGGCTCAGAACCCTCCTGAAGTGGAGTCCTTCCTTCTACCCAGCTGAGGGCTCAGGTCTCAGGCCAGCTGCTGACAGTGGCAGGAGCTCTGGAGGTGAGAGGTTGCCTTGATGTCCTCCCAAGCCTCTCCGAGGGATCTCACTCCACTGATGGCTCATCCTTAGCTGGCCCGTTGTGTCCAGAGCCCTTCAGGCACTTCCCAGGGTGTCCATGAGCTGCCCTGCACAATCCCGCAACAACGTCTGCCTGTTCCACACAGTGAGTGCCCAGGGTGTTGCAAGAAAGGCTTGTCCAGGGTGTTGCAGGAGACCGCTGCCTCAGCTGGCTGTCTTGCTTTGCAGGGGTGCTGCTCTCCATCCTGTGCATTCTCCTTTCTCTCTCCCTCTCACCCCCTTACCCCCGGCAGGGCTCATTCTGCCAGCAAGAGGCTGTAGGACACACGGATGGACACATGGGCAGGGCTCACCCCTCCAGGAGGCAATAGGACAGACTGACAGACACAGCAGGGCTTACCCCTCCAGTAGGGGGCAGTAAGACAGAGGGACACACACCCACAGAGTGGGGGCCTCACACCTCCAGTAGGTTGGAGAGATGGACACGCAAATACGTAGCAGGGCTCAGCCCTCCAGCAGGGGGCAGTAGGACAGACATAGTATTCAGCAAAACCCCCTCCCCCCCCCTCAGTCCCAGCTCTGAAGTTCCCACCCTGTTGCCAAGAGGAGCCTGGTCAATGCTGTCTCCAGGACCCTAGAGCAGAATTTTACAGATGGGGAAACTGAGGCCCAGAGCATGGATGGCGCTTGGTCACAGTCCCAAAGGGAGTCTGTGGCGGAGCCAGGAATGGAACCCAGGCGTCCTGGCTCCCAGCAATGCCCCCTCCTCCCCGAGCCCGGCCCCTGGTGCCTGTGCCCCTATAGGTGCCAGGCGAGTGCTGCAGTGCTGAGGAGCAGGGGGATCAGGGCTGCAGACCGGGGGGCAGGAGAGGCGCTGTGGGCAGTCCCAAGGGCAGCTGAGGCCTGCACTTGGCGGCCCCCAAGGCTCTGCATGGGCCGGAAGTTGTTCTTCAGCAGGGGCCCGCTCTCTGAGTCGGTGGAGTGGAGGGTGGAGGCAAATGCAGTCACCTGGAAAAGAGGGGAGAGATTAGCAGGGGAGGCAAACTGGGCTGCTCTGCTGGGCAGAAGGGAGGCGGTTGTAGGGGGCTCTCTCAGGAGCAGAGAGAACGGGCATTTCAACAACAGAGGGTGGGGCGAGCTGGAGAAGAGAACCCAGGAGGCCTGGCTCCCTTGCCCCCTCTCTAAGCCCATCAGACCCCGCTCCCTTCCCAAACCTAGGAGGAGACCTGCCGTCCTCCCTTCCCCCCCATGCTCACCACGTCCTTCTGCACCACGATGGGGTCGGGAAAGACCGTCCAGACCACGGCTTCGGTGCAGTTGGGGGTCGTGAGGGAGCCCCGGTAGCGGTAATAGCGGGCTAGGTCCACCGAGCCCAGCAGATCCTGCAGGGAAAAGGAGCCGTCCACATCCGTGTCCTCTCCTGGAGGGGCAGAAAGAGAGTGAGGCCCAGCTTGGCCCTGCCCTGAGCAGGGGCGAGAGCCCAAGTGTCCTGCTCCCCAACTCCCCCCCGCCCTGCCCCACACCTCACTCTTCTAGTGCTGCATCTAGAACCCAGGAGTCCTGACTCCCAGCCCCCCAGCCCATTAATCCCTGCTCCCATTGTCATGTTCTCTTGCTCCCCTGACGCCCACCCGTCCTTTCCCCTTCCCATCCCCCGCGCGTCCTCTTAGCCCCGCCCCCTGGTCCCCACTGAGTCTCATTCATGTGGCGGGGCGAAGTGAGCAGAGAGGGGGGCACTGGGGAGGCTGAGGCCCAGCGAACCTGGAGCATGGGCAGGGCCTGGGGCAGGGGGTGGGGATTGGGGTGAAGTGGGGGTGGGGTCATGGTCCAGGCACTAGGGGAGCTTCCAGCCCTGCCCATGCCATAATCCAGTGGGTCTCAACCTATTTACCACTGGGGGTGCATCCAGTCCTGCCCGAATGGCCCCGTGGATGCCACACAGGCTGCCGC